GGAAGATCATTTGTTCCATCAGATTTTGAATTTTAAATACCTCTGAATTTCTCACTTCAAATTTTTTAACTCTGAAAAAAGAACTGAATTATTTTTATTGTGAATTTTAGTTACTGAAATTTTAAGTATACCTTTTAGATATATATTTAAAAAAAAAATCATCTTTTAAATATTCAGCACCAGAGCAGCTGCGGGGTCTTAAAAGTCTTAAAAAGGTCTTAAATTTTTTTAAAATTATGTTGTCCAAGTCTTATTTTTTTTACAAACATCTTAAATTTCAGTAGTTTATTTTTTTTTTTGCATACGCAACCAGGCTCAACCAGGAAAAAAGAACAACAACGTGAGCAATGAGTCAATCAGTAGAGTGGAGTATTTTAAATTTTTTTTTCTAAAATTCTAAATAAAAAATTAACCTTTTAAATATTCAGCACAAATATATTCAAACCCTCGTATTCAACACTCAAAATTCAAACACTTTAACGATGTACACTTCAAATTTCAGCATCTAAAATCCAGAATAAGAATAATTCAAACATGTTTTTTCAGAGTTAGGGAGAAATTCAACGGCATTTAAAATTCAAAATCTGCTGAAACAAATTATCTTCCATAGTAGATTTTGCGTAATACCCCTTTTTTTAAAACCAGCCTAAAACGTGACCCAAAACAAAGTCCCGCCTCCCTCTGACCCAGATGCTGGACTGGAGTGAAATTTGACTTGTGTTTCGCTGAGTCGTGGACAGAAAAAGCTGAATCATCATCGGACATAAACTGCACTTTAAAGCAGCTGAGCACATAAATCTAACAGATCCCCTTTAACCCGAGGCACAGAGGACTGAGAGATTTACTGAAGGTTTTTTTTTTACGATACAAACCACCACATGTCCAGAAGGTTCCATGTTCAGACTCGCACTGAGCTCTTTGATGTTGAACTTTTACTCTTTTCTAGAAAATGCAATAAGCACTAATTAAATCACGCCTAGAGTGTGAAATAGAGCGTTCAGAGCTTTAAGCCATGTTCGAGTGGTTTCCCTTCTCTTTTACCGTCTGGCAGTTGTATTTGGAGTGATTCATGCCTGTTTGAACAATCTGTGTGCATACAGTGATGCAGAAGTGTGTGGAATTCGATTGGGTATGCATGACAGGTAGTAACTTTTGGTGGTGATGTATGTGACGTAAACTCCCGCTCAGCTCCCATTTCAACGGTTTTGAAACGCAGAAGTCACCTTCAACTGGTCTTTCTCTGTGGAGACAATAACACATGATTACAACTAGAGACAAGAGACATGACTACCAGAAAAGCTACGTGCCACTATAATCATAGCACTATACCATAATTATCTGGATATACATGCCAGTAATATGAAATCAATCAGTTGAAGTGTCCCGGTGCTTTCCCGTTAGTGACTTGTTGTCATTGTAAAGCTTCCAACCTAAACAGCTTTTAATTATTGATGTAAATTCTGCCTCTGCTTTTCACAACAATCAAAGCTGAAAAACAGGTCTGACCGCTGCTGTGAAAAGGGAATGGACTTTCATGATTTTAGAGGTTCAAATGTTCGAGAAACAATTAAGTGGTAACAGCACATCTGGAAATTTCTGTAAAGAGGTTCTATTCACACTGCAAAAAAAGCTTATGATATAAACACTTAAATCTATCAGAAAATGACTTATTTAAAAGTAGTGAAATGGTCTTGCTGAATGGAAAGATCATTTTACTTGACAAGTTATGTTAAAATAAACGACCTCTAGACTAGAATGAAGCGTCTCAGAACTAGTAAGTAGGTAATAAATCTGAAAACAAAATGACTAACCTGATATACTGTTTTTTTTGGAGTTGCACCAGCCAAAAAATGCAGAATGAAGAAGTAAAAAACATGAGTCGCACTGGACTATAAGTGGCACTTTTTGGGGGAAAAGTATTTTATAAAATCAGAAACCGGAAACCGACATTTCATGTTGAAAGTCTAGTTCTAGTAAAAACAGTAGAAGAGAGAACAACAGACTGTTAACGTCACATATGAACAGTTCTTCAGATAAATATAACATAAACAACAGAACAGAACAAGTTTAACAAACTCTCCATCTCACTCCAAATCACTAAATCCATTCAATTCTTCATCCTCGGTGTCACTTCTGAACAACTCGGCCTCGACCTCCAGAGGTAAACAGAGCGACGCAAACTCTTCTGTGTCCGCTGTCGTCAGACTCAACATCAGTTCCAGTTAGAATTATTCTGGTCTTTCTGAATCCCGACAGGATGGTTTCTGTGTCACTGAAGTCCAGGCTTTGTTCATCCATCCAGTGACTTCAGGAAAGTTTCATGGTGCATCCTCCTGGTGTCACAAATTTCTTCAGACTTTCTTTCTGTTGCTCGATTACTGTTTTCAGCTGCAGATTTCACGACTTGCAGTTTGTAATCTGCAAAATATGATTATCTTTTTGGGGGCATTTATGTTCAGTCTTCTCAGTCGTCTTTATAAGTTTGTTAAATGTTCAGCGGTACAGAAGTAATGGTGCGATCGACTGACATGATACAGACTCTTTCTGCAGGAGACATGTGCAGTAGAGTGAAGTAACAGTGGTACAGGAGGAACAGGAGCAACAGATACTCACACACAAGACTAGAACCTCTCACCTCGTCAGTGTGAACATTTTAATATATAAATTGCACTTGAGTAGAACTCGCAGGAAACACCCAAACCATGAAAAAAGTGCAACTTATAGTCTGAAAAATACTTCTACAAACACGTTATGAAATGTCCGTGTGTGTCTGATGCCCTCCCTGTGCCTCTGTGGAGTCTTGTTCTATGTAGGAAGATGCTGAATTACAACTTTCAACCAAAGTGATGTTACGTTTCTGGTAGGGGACTTACTATATTTACTGCTTGTCTCCATGGGGATGCTCTTGCTTTACCTGGAATGCTCCACAGTATAGCATTAATCCTATCTTTTATCTAAATCACAAATGTTGTACCTGATCATTTCTATTAGTGACTAGACTCAAGAACTCCCTTTTATTACGACAAAAATCCACATTTGAACTTGGATTTGCATTTATTTGAGCTGCTTCAAATCTGTAGTGGTAAATATTATTGTAGCGTGTCGTGATGGCATCTGAGACAATTCCTGGTGTTGATCAAGATGCGGTAATCACAGAGACATTTCCTGGGCGTGCTGAAGGTCAGAGCGGTGCATTCAGGAACCTCCAAAAGTCCCTGCTCAGAAAATACACACACAACAAGGAACTAAAGGAGCTAAAATTAGACCATGCACAGATAACATTCATAGCAACTAAATCTGTACCTCCAGTGTATCTACAATAGACGCTTAGAGGAATATGGGCGTGACTGACAGGTGGATTAACCAATCAGGGACATGCATGATCTGTTAGTATCAAAAGAAATACGGCTGTTTACGAGAACAAAACAAACGAAAGAATGTCACAGGGGACTGAAAAAACATGGAGGATTTCTGTCAATGAGCAAAGTACTGAACTTCATTCTACAACATTTGGAGAAAAAAAAACAAATCTGATTGAACGATTGTGGTCGGTTCCAGCTTGAGATGCGATGTCACTTTTATTATGTTTAGAAAGTTATAGCTGAATAATTTTGATATAGTCTAGACTCTGTTTTTTTGTATTTAATTCATTTTCATTATTATTATTTTTTAAGATCTGACAGTTTGGTGTCTGTTCTACTGCTGCTAATCTGTTTGGATCCCTGTTGTGAGATAAACTGCGGTGATTTTATGGTTTGTGAAATGTTACTCAAATGTGAAATCATGTTTTATTAAACAAACACATGGACATAACATTTAGTCATTGTTAGAAACATCTAACATCATGTCTAAAACCTAGAAATCCTGATCTGAGCCTGTGATAAAGTCTCGAACCCGGAGCCAATCAAAACAGACGTCATTGATAATCAAACATCTTCTTATTTCCCATCACAGAGACAGACAGAATGTGACTGGGCAGGTTCAGGTTTAGTAATGAAGTCAAAGTTCTGATAAATAATTGAAAACCTGCCAAACCTCAACAAACTCTCAACTTGAAGCTTTTGTTTTTGTTCAGTTTTGGAGTGTTAAATGTACCAAATATAACTTTGAATCAGTCAATACATCGATTAATTATTAAAACACCATTGGATTTTCTTTCATAATCATGTCAGTGGTCTGAACGAGGTTATGAGAAACATGTACTGTTTTCTTGAATGTTCCATAGTTTGGCATTAATACACGCATCAAGAGTGTCAGACTTCTTTCACTATTTTTCAATTCCGTTGGGAAGGGAATTGAACAATTTTAACAGAGGTTTGCAGTTACACAGATCTGATTCCCTTTTGCATTTATGGAGTTCACAAACAAATTTCTCAAGCCGTTTTCCGCTGTTAGGATCCAACAACCACACAATTAACGATGTCCGAATCCCAAAACTAAAACAAAAGCGATTTGGTTCAAAAGACTTGAAAAGATCGACTTCTTCAATAGACGCATCCCACTGGGAAAACAAACATGGAGGTTTGATGCTCACTTTTTCGGAAAATCCTTCCCAGTATGCATTGCGCAATGACCGGAAGTCCGACATTCTTGATGCGTCTATTGCATATATGCTTCACTGATGTTTGATTGCAAAAAAAACTTGAAAAGCATTCATTCTTACAGTAAGTGACTCGCCTTTCCACAGTTGCGACCTGTAACCTGTAGCAGCCTAGTCCCTTAACGTTACTTACCTGTTTCCATGGAGATAGATAGGTTTAATGCCATACTGTGGAACTCTAAGCAAAGGAATAACATCTCCATGGAGACAAGAAGGTGGCTGAACCTTTACAAGAAAAGTTAAGAATTTTAGATTTATTTGGATATAGCAAATATTTGACTTTTCAAGGACTTTGAAATCTCAACCGGGTCTCTAACTGGATTATAACAGGTCTAAACTAGGACTAAACCAGGTCTAAAACTGAACTTGTGTCCTATTTGTTTGTCTCTCTCTTTTGTAGACCGTGTTTTGGAGAAGGCCATGCACAAGTGTGTCCTGAAGCCTCTGAAGTCCGTGATAGCAGACGCCCTGCAGGAGTCCATGGTCCGCAGCGGCGCTTGGACCGAGCTCAAAGAAAACATGAGCCTGGCCAAGACCAAGCCCCCCGCGGAGATGGGCGTGTCGGATGCCCTCCCGCCAGACGCCGTCGCCATAGAGAAGATCAGACAGAAGTTCCAGGCCATGTGCAAACTGTACTCCCCCGAGAAGAAGGTGGGACGCCTGCTCCAGGTGTGCAAGCTCATCTACACCATCATGGAGGACAACTCAGGTAAGACACATTTTACATTCACATTGTACGGTCCAAATTAGAGCCCGACCGATATGGATTTTTGTGAAACCGATATTTTTGCCGATATAATGCTGGGCCGATATAATGCTAATAGCCGATACAATCACTGATAATTCTTAAAAATTAAAAAAATTTAAATTCATTGAGTCATACAAACTTTATAATTATGTAAACTTTCACCTTTTTCCAAAAAGTTTTATTAGTAAAAATCAGGTGCAATGTTTTATTTTTTAGTATATTTAAACAACTTTAACCAGTACATAATAATTAAATATATATATATATATATATATATATCACCCTCATTCAGCTCGGGTCGTCTACCAGAGGCCTGGGAGCTTGAGAGTTCTGCACAGTATCTTTGCTGTTCTCAGTACTGCACTTTTCTGGACTGAGATGTCCGTTGTTTTTCCCGGTATCTGTTGAAGCCACTCTTCCAGTTTGGGGGCTACAGCCCCGAGTGTCCGACCACCACAGGCACCACTGATGCCTTTACTTTCCAGGCTCTCTCCAGCTCTTCCTTGAGCCCCTGGTATTTCTCTAGCTTCTCGTGTTCCTTTTTCCTGATATTACCATCGCTTGGTATTGTGATGTCCACCACCACGGCTCTGCTCTGTTTCTTATCCACCACCACTATGTCTGGTTGATTCGCCATCACCATTCTGTCAGTCTGAACGCCCTTAGAGTCCTGTTGATATTGTACAGCTTCAAGCACTCAGTGATCCATGTGTGTGGCATTGAGTCATAGGCTTTCTTGTAATCAATCCAGGCAGTGCACAGGTTGGTCAACCCATAAGACCAACCTGGGTTGGTCTTATGGGCGACTGTTCGGTCAACTAGGAGTTGGTGTTTGGCTCCCCTGGTGTTTTTGCCGATACCCTTCTGTGCTGCGCTACATACTATTATCTAGTGACAATAATAACAAGGTTAAAAACGTGACTCATAATTAAACTATTTAATAATAATGATAATAATACTAATTATAATTATTGTAATCATAATTAGACTAATAAATGCGGAAATTGTTCCTTTGGTAGATTTTATTCCTGGATGTTTCAAAATTTGCATAAATGAAGTAAATCGTCCCTGCATTTGTGATGAAGTTTTCCGTGTTGATGAGGTACTTTGTTTTAGAACTCAGCACTACTTCCTGTATTTTTGCACTTCTCTACTTTTTTCCTCAAACTGCCACTTAAATATGATCAAATATTTACCGCAGATACTGTTCCACAAACCCAAGTCAGAATAAGAAAATCCTGAAAGCCTGTCTCATGCTCTTTAACTTCCCTTATATCTAATAACATTTGTACTTGTGTTTCCAGGGCGGCTGTTCGGGGCTGATGACTTCTTGCCCATGTTGACGTTTGTGCTGGCTCAGTGTGACATGCCTCAGCTGGACAATGAGATCCTGTACATGATGGAGCTGCTGGACCCCACTCTGCTCAACGGAGAAGGTACACGGCTTCAAATCCAGCTGGTGTTAAAGGGGATTTCAGGATTTCTCTGAGAATGAATAAAAAAAGTAGGAGACGTCACGTAAAGAGCGTTCTGATTGGCCAGTCATTCGTGGAGTAGGATGAGGAGGAACTGTAGAGCTGTAGATCAGAGAGTATTTTGGGTGAAGAATAAGAGACATTGTGGAACTTGAGGAAAGAACATTGCAATTCATTTATAGTCTTGTTATTGCGCTGCTGACTGTATTGATTGTCAATGTTTTGTACCATCTATGACCAAAGTTGACCTTCTCTGTTCTCTTTCATGAGGGTACTGTACTATCTGACCATCCAAACTCCAAAGACCTTGTACAGACATATTGTATAAGCAGATCTTGAAAATAAATTTGTTGTGAACCATCTGCATTTACCATATTTTTCAGACTATAAGTCGCTCCGAAGTATAAGTCACAACAGCCAAAAAATGAGTAATGAAGAAGAAAAAAACATATATAAGTCACACCGGACTATAAGCACTTTTTGGGGGAATTTATTTTATAAAATTAAAGACCAGGAACTGATATTTCATCTTGAAAGGCAAGTTGTAGTAATAACAATAGAAGAGAGAACAACAGACTGTTAACGTCACATATGAACAGTTCTTCAGATAAACAATAGAACAGACCAAGTTTACCAAACTCTCCATCTCACTCCAAATCACTAAATCCATTCAATCCATTGAATTCTTCATCCTTGGTGTCACTTCTGAGCAACTCTGTGCAACTTCGGTTGTCACTGGAGTCCAGTCATGCTGCACCCTTCCAGTTGCCATGAAGCTGTGTTCTCCATTCCCGCTTTCCTCAGTCCCTCACAAGTTTCTCGCTCACTCCAAACTTTCTTTCTCTTGCTCAATAACCGTTTTGTGCTGCATATTTCAGTACTTGCAGCAGGACAGTGGCTTTTTCTGCAGGAGACATGCACAGAAAACCGATGCACAAGCTTAGAGGGCCCTTTCACGGCTGTCAATCTGAACATTTTAATATATAAGTCACACCAGAGTATAAGTCACAGAAAACACCCAAACCATGAAAAAAGTGTGACTTATAGTCTGAAAAATATGGTAATTATAGAGTATTGTGTAATACTCAGGAAACATGATTGTTTTTTTTAGCTTTACCATTATGTCAGAACTCCAGTCTGCTTTCTTAGAGTTGAAAATCACTTAAAAACTCATCATGGTGTATAATTAAAATGAATTAGTTCTGTTTTTCATGTTACTGATCACAGTCCAAACTCACCTCTTACCTCGTGTTTATCTCCTCATCAGGCGGGTACTACCTGACCAGTGCGTATGGAGCCATGTCTCTCATAAAGAACTTCCAGGAGGAGCAGGCAGCCAGAGTCCTGAGCTCTCAGACCAGAGACACTCTGCACCAGTGGCACCGCAGGAGGACCATGCAGAGAACAGCGCCCTCTATAGACGACTTTCAGGTGTGCACAACTTCACATTCTTCAGATAATGTCTTTACCAAATTGTAATTAATTTCATAGGTGCATTAAGTAATTTATGTAACCTACCCGTCTCTATGGAGTAGGGTGACTAGAATTTCAAAATAAAAAACTGTTTTTTTGGTGGTTGGTCATAATAAAATTGTGAAACAACCACGTAATTAAGAAAAACTGTTACGCAGAGACCATTCAGGATTGACATGTGAGCCAGTATAGTCAAATTTTCTGTGTTTTGGCCGTTTTTAAACAGATTTTTTGTATTTTACCTTAAACAAATTACAATTTATGCCTCTCTTTACTGTTGGAAGGGATCAAACTGGTCAAAAATAGAGACATAGGGACATTTCTTGTATAAAAGTGACAAATCACTGGTTTGGGACAGGGGACACAAGGCTCAAAAGTGGGAATGCCCTGGGGAAATAGGGATTTCTGGTCACCCTACCATTATTGCTTTTCCCTCTTATTGCTCAGAAATTGCTTGAAAAACATCTTTCACGTCTTATTGAGCAGGGTCGCCTCTTACCAGATCCAACCTTGGCCACATAGTTACCTCCTTGTCTCCATGGAGAGGAATCAGCTAATATTGTTAAACACTAATAGATACATTAAAAATATGAAAAGTAGCCAGTGGCAGATTCTCCAACCAAAAAGTGACATATTACACCTTTAAATGATCAAAAGTAAAAGTCCTCCAAATGGCATCCACAACAGGAAATATCATTTTACATGAAACACATCAAAACCAGACAGAGTGTAACAATGAGATAATGAAAAGCAGAGGACACATTTACAACAAATGTACTTTAATCCTAACCAATGGCACAGAAAGGCAGCCATGTTTGTATCAGATTGCCTCGAAGCAGCTGTGGCACAGATGGACTCTATCACCAAACAAACGAAATGAAACAAATGTGACAAATGAAAAACACTACAACAACAACATTAGTTCTAGGAAATATTACTCAACAATCAACTGTAGCATTTCGTTTTGTCACTGGTTTTATGTGAGACAGAAGCATTACTGTGGTTTAAAACAGACATATTGTGCTTTTGTCTGTTATAGTTATAATCTGTGAAATTTGTGGATCATTTTGTTGTGATCTGGATATTTTAACTCACAATATTGATCAAAAACGATGTAATAAAAGAAACAAACTGGCTTCAGCATTAGAAAACTGTGGTGTCCAGTGGGAGCTGACATGGCTGTAAATGTCATCACAATAAAGCTGTGGGCCCGTTCGATGGAGAGCTCGGTCTTTTTTACATTTGTGAATCTGAATCCCACATATACTGATTAATTTTTCTTTATAACGATCAAACGTAAGCCTGGGATGCCATTAGCTGTCAGAGGACAGGTCATAACATAGAGAGCTGTTTTGGGGTTTAGTACAGTTTTGGATCTGGCAACACAAAGCGAGGAGCTCATTCTGCTTTCTGACTGGATATTCAACTTGAGAACCAAAAGTCAAAATGTGCATACAACTTTCTTTCTTATTTGATTTGATCTAGGGCTGCTTGATTATGGAAAAAAATCATTATCACATTGTCAATATTGAAATCACAATAATTCAAACGATTGTTTTTTGTTACATGATGCATTTATTCAGCATTTCTCTCTCTCAAAAAACAAACAAACACTTGTCATTGATAATTTATGCAAAACTTTCAAACTGAAAAGGCTACAAATATGAACCTTAGAGCAGTTTAGCTGATTAGATGTAAATTACATAAAATTAATAAAATATACTTTGAACATGAAATAAGGCATAGAAAAACTGTAAATGTATCCAAAATAAACTCTATATCCAAATGTTCTACAATCTCTATATTAAAAAAATAAAATAAATATACTGATTTATCTAGAAAATATCCCAAAATAAACTTTGTTAAGCTAAATTGTTTCAACATGATTATATGAGTTTAGAAATCGTTTGACACACAAATTGAAATTGTGATCAAAATTCAATTACAGTGTTTTGCGCACTATAGGGAGGTTTTCACATATAAACCGCACCGGAGTATAAGGTGCATTAAACGTAACACAACAGTTAGATAAGTCAGTCAAACTTTATTTAACGCATTCACAGTAACTCTCAACTTTGTTCAGTTGTAATGCGTAAAAAAAAAAAAAAAAACAGTCTGAGATGCTAAATTGTTAGTGTATTCACAATAACTCATAATAGTTCAAACAGCTGGATGATTACAGCGTCCAGCACGCCCGCATCCCTTTCGTCATTATCCAAGTCAGTGTGGTTACTGTTACCTGACAGTTCACTGATGATTCTGGTCTTGGTGAAAGCTTGGACCACAGCTTGATACTGATTCTTAGCCCGGGGGTCCACGGTCCATTGGCAGATCGTGGTGTAAGTCGCTCGGCGCTGTCTCTCTGTCTTGGTGAATGTGTGTTCTCCTTCTCTCATCCACTGCTCCCACGCAGCTCGCACTTTCACTTTATAACAGCCTTGAGTTTAAAGTGGGCGTTGTGAGCGTGTCTCTTGACAGGTGCATTTTGATATTAAAAGGAATCACAGACTGTATTACTCCGCGATGCTCCTGACTATGATAGTCGTAATGCTGCAAGTGGTGCGGATTTGTAGTTTATAAAGTCGTACTAAGACACCCCAATAAATGCATATATAAGGTGCTCTGGATTATAAGGCGCGCAGTCGTTTTTTGATGAACTTAAAGGCTTTTAAGTGTGCCCTATACTGCGGAAAATACTGTAGTTGCACTTGCATTGTCTTAATTTGATCTGAGGTTATCGATGCTGACTGTTTTGAAATAATTTTAACTTTCATACACATAAGACAGTTTTTCCTCCATTGCATGACCAACACATGTGAAGCCTTATACTTACCACTCCGTAACACCAACTAAACTCCTCTTTTCTCTGTATTTCCTTAGAATTACCTGAGGGTGGCGCTGCAGGAGCTGGACAGCGGCTGCACGGCTAAAACTCTGTCCGTCCGTCCCCAGGCCACCGTGGAGGAAGTGTGCTCTCTGTGCGCCGTCAAGTTTTCCGTCTCAGATCCACAAAAATACGGACTCTTCCTGGTGACGGAGGGGAGCAGCCAGCAGCTCGCTCCGGACACTCACCCCCAGAAAATAAAAGCCGAACTGCACAGCCGCGACCAGCCCGACACCTTTCACTTCGTGTACCGCAGAATGGACTTCAATGCCACATCCAGACGAGCTAACGAGGCTAACGAGGCTAATGACGCTAATGCTAACCCAACAACGACAACACCAGACCAACAAAAAAACCTCAGTCCAAGGTTAAGCTTAAGTTTACCCCAAGGAAGCATCCATTCTGTGTCAATTTGAGCCACGAATGATGTAAACCCAGGTCACTCTTGTAGTTATAATTCCCAGTTATTGGGCTGAATGAATATATTTGAAAACTGAATGTTCTTAACATTGTTGAACCAGCTTGGCGCTCATGAGGCTAAAAAGGCTAATTGCTATGTCAAAAAGCTACACTTCAGTTCAAGGTTAAGATTAAGCCTGTTTTAAGAATTTCAATGAACTTCAATATGAGACACTTTTATTTTTAGTTTTGAATTTGAGTACTCTCTAAGTAGATAACCAGATTTCTGCCTACTTCATACATTAGGAAACTAAAATAGAGTGACCAGACGTCCCAATTTTGCAGAGACAGTCCCAGTTTTGAGCCCTGTGCCTCCTGTCCCAGCAAATTTATCCAAAACCAGTGATTTGTCTTAGTTTTATACAAGAAATGTCCCGGGTGTCCCTATTTTTGACATATTTGACACCTTCCAACAGTAAAGTGAGGCATACATTGTTATTTGTTTAGGTAAAATACAAAAAATATGCTTAAAAACGACCAAAACACAAAGAAAATGTGACTATACTGACTCACATGTTAGTCATGAATTTTATCATTTTATTATTACCAACCTCCAAAAAAACAGAAATTTTATTTAATCAATTTTTATTTTCAAATTCTGGTCACCATAATTTAAGGTAGATTAACTGTTGTAGCAGTTCTAGGCTAGGACTACTTTAGCTCAGGGCAAGTAGGCAGTTTAAATGTTAATTAGTATAGCAGACTAATTGGAACCCTTTAATGTCACTGTATTACTTTATCTGTAGTTCAAGTTGAGTTTTAACCCCCAATACACATCTGTTTTTTCCTCAATATGAGCCACAAAGTTTTGCTCTATGAATATAAATATAGGTTTGACTTTCAGTGACTGGAAAACTGAAAATGAACAGGTTTAGCATATGTTAATCCTTATGCTAATGGAGTTCAAATTGCTAAAGATGCTTCTCACTTTCACAAATATTTCAATTCTTTCTCAATATGAGTCACTAAATATTGTGAAAAGTGGAAGTATCTTGTATGTTGTTTGACTACATTCAGTTGTTTATGTGACAGCTTTAGCATTAAAGACTAGTGCACTGCCAATTTCTAGAATGCTAAAGCTAATGCTAAAGTGTAGCTGGCTCGATGCTAGTAACACGGCTAATAATGTTAACTAGCCCAAATACAAGTCTATAACTGGACTTTATCTTACTTAGCTAATCAGTGCTCAACTTTAAAAACAAATGATCCAAAACAAATGATGAGTGGATTAAGTTCTTAACTGCATACAAGAATCCAGATTTTTATTTGAAAGCATTCAGCATGCACCGACTCAAATCTCCCAAATGAGACTATTTAACAAACTGGATGAGGTTTTTTGAGGTAAAAGTGGCATCAGCGATTTCAGAATGTGCAGACGAGCTCCTAAAGACTCCAATATCGTGCAAAACGGTACACAGACTTCTGCTTTTTGTGGCTTGGCACATCGGAAACTGGAGTCGAATGTAAACAAACGAACAGATGAACGGATGGAGCAAAGGAGAAGGAAGCCAAGCTGTTTTTCTGTCTTTTTAAGAACTCACGCGACTCAGATTCAAAACATGAACTCTCTATGGAGATGGTGAACAAAACAGTTGCTGGTAAACTGTTGATAATGTTTAAAATGTAATAATATTCTGGTTTATTCTATAGAAATATATGACTGGTGTGTGTTATGTGTTATATCTTGTGTTTTCTATGAACGGCCAGTGTCGTAACGTTATGGTGCAGTGTGTTAGATTTGGAAAACTGCTGCAGAAACATGAATTCAGAATAGTCCCTTTTTAATAGAATTTTTGGTGTTATATTTCTTTATTTTATTTCATTAGTCTTGTATATTTTTTTTTACTTATTGGCATTTCACAAACTAAAATGTCATGCATGTTTGAAAAGCATCTTATTTTCGAAGCACACAAAATTAAAATGCCATAGTTGCCAGCAGTTGGCGCAATGATTCATCTGCTTGCACACAGACAATATTCCAGCCAAATAAAAAAATTTTAATCCATATTTCAAAAATATGAATTGAAAAATTAGAAAGCAAAAGGCCGATATTTAGTTTTGACTGACTAAAACTATTTGAACACTAAAATCATGACTACACAGCACCTTTTTAGGTTTGTGGTTAAAAAAAAGATCTGTGAGTGATTTTGTAGTGAATTTAAATGACATAATGACAACCAAAATCGGCCTTATGTATCGGCGCAATAGTATCAGCAGAATTTATCAGACATTGGTTTCTCTTGATTCTAAACATTGTTAATGGCCATGAAAAACCCATATCAGTCGATCTCTAATAAAAACTTGTTATTCTTGTGTATCCTGCTATAGGCGCCAATGCAAAAGATCGCATTTCACTTTTTAATTGTTACACTACAGCAGTTTTTTTTTTTTTTTAAATAAAACTGAAAGATCTTCTAATCAATAATTAATATTTTAACAACTGATTCCATATCGTTTGAAATGTATGAAAGGTAGTGTAACTTTATTTTCTGTACACTACATTCACCAGTGCCCCCTCAAAAAGCATGAAACACTGGCCGCTGGTGGATAATTATGGTATTGCAATTAAAACCTTTTTTAAAATAATATTGGACAGATTTTTGTTGAACACTTTTACAAAAATAAAACATTAAAATACTATTCAAATCAAAGGCTAAATCTTACACACTGCTTCCTTAAAACACATTCTAAAAAATCGTGACTCTTGTATATTATATGGTAATTTAATTCAGATAAACGAGTAGAAATGCATGTATTTTTAGCTGTACAGTAGAAACGTGTGTTTTTGATCATCCTGGTGAGACTTTTATTTTGAAAAGTTGGGGGCATATTTCTGTTCAGTTTTAATATTAATGTGACGGCCTCTTAGCTGGTCTGAGGTCTGCCTACAAAATAAAATGTGCTGTACAGGTTTGGGGGCTTTTACTTTGAAAGGAAAAAAGGATGTGAGACAAGAGGGAACGAGAAAGGAAATTTTAAATGGGGATGTTTTGGCTGATTTAAAATGTTACTAAAATGTACTCCCACTAGGCTACTACTACTACTACTACTACTACTACTACTACTACTACTACTACTACTACTACTACTACTACTGCTAGACAACTATTAGGTTACAACAACAACAACTACTACTACTACTGCTACTAGACAACTATTAGGCTACAACTACTACTACTACTACTACTACTACTACTACTACTACTACTACTACTACTACTACTGCTACTACTACTAGACAACTACTAGGCTACAACAACTACTACTACAAATGCTACCACTACTACTACTGCCAAACTTTTGAATTGCATGGAGATTTTAAATACTTGGCTGCAAAAGTAGTTCCATTTTCCCCTCCCTCAATGTATATATGTATTTTGGGATTCGAACCAGAACCTTCTTGTTGTGGGGTAGGATGTTAACCACTCTGCTACTTCAGGTTCTTGCATACATTTTTAAAAAAAGAGGGATTTTGAGCAGCTAAAAGACAAAACACAGATGGGTAAATAATTCTATCTTTGATGACCGATGGAAAAATGAGAGAAATGAAATGAGAGAGTGGGATTCTGCTGGAGCCTGTACAAAACATGAAACCTGTTGAATGATATTTATGAGTGAGTCTGTGCAGGGCAGTTCACAGATGCTTTTCATAATATCAATGTGACTTTTCCTTTGGACTGTCAGTGGATGTTTTGCACTTAATAAACTTTGGATCAGAAATTTCATAGTAAATGTTTTTTTTATTTTCACTCCAATGATTTTCCATAATAAAAAAAAAGCACAGGGTTAGCAAAAATTAACTGTCAGTCAAGTCCAGTCCTGTCAAAATGTTCAAAAAAGGTGTCTACAGTATGTCCATTGGAAGTCCAGTTCAGTGTGAAGTACCGTATTTTCCGAGCTATTGGGCACGCTCTTAAGCCTCTTAACCCGCAATCCAGAGCGCCCTATACGCAAATCCACTCGGGTGTCCCAGCACAACTTCAGTAAACTACAAAGCCGCACCACCCACAATGCACACAAACACGCACAGAGACAAACAGACACACTCATCACTCCACGCGAACGAAGAACGGAACGGAGGAATGAACTGAAAAAGTGAGTGCAATGTGCCACTTCCAGACACAACTGAACAACTGAGTCACTGCGAACACGCCGACAATCCGTTGGTCCCAGGCAGCACCCTCCCTACACGCCACAACTGAACAAAGCCCAGAGTCACAGTGAACGCCACAAACAAACAAAACCACTCACCCATCACACTGTTGGGTTTCCTTTAAAGTCCGGTGTGGTTTATTTGTGAAAAAAGTGCAGTAGTATAATAGTTCATAGGTCCAGTTAGTTTGCAATTTTTCTCCGGTTCCCATCTTACCTTCATTAGGAATTTGTCATGAACAGGGAGGTTTTCAGTCACTCTTTCATAAACTATACATAGAAGACCTTTTGTGGAGATGTGTTTGGCTTCAAAAAGACACAATTCAAAATGCGATTCGTCAGGTTTAGTTGGAAAGATATTCTGTTAGGCTGCGTTCAGACTGCAGCCTGAAGTGACTCAAATCCGATTTTTTTGGCCCCTATGTTCCTGTATCTGATCTTTTAATGACAGTCTGAACCACACAGATCTGATTTTTTCAAATGTGACCCAGGACACTTGGATATGTGCTCCTGAAACCGATGCATATCTGATCTTTTGACATGCGACTTCAGTCTGAACGACCAAAGCTCATCCATCCGACCTACACTTTATCAACAAGCGACAAACATCACTATTCTGCTCTGAAGTAGGCAAAAATTGTTAATGAACTCCGTGTCACTGAAGTGAAGCACATCACCACTCACCACTCTTGGCTCCGTCTCCACATCCACACATTTCTTTCAACGGACGTCGCTGCTGCTGTCCCACAAAACACCACGGCCAAAAACCTCGTCCTTCTCCTTTTCAATCTCCTTAAAACAGTAAGTTGTTCATGTTCTGGCTCCGGTACGAGAGGAACTTTAAAATCTCCAGGTGCTCAATGCTGCGTCCATGTTTGGACAACTTCCGTAAACACAGAGCACGCTCACTGAGGTTGACGTCATCGTGTCTCCAGTGCACATGCGGGACACTTTCGGGTTGTTTAATGTTCACACTGGAGTCACATACAAGTCACATTTAATTAGAAATGTGAACGACCTCACAAAAACATCGGATTTCACAAAAAAATCGGAATTGAGCATTAAGCCCTGCAGTCTGAACGTAGCAATAGTCGGAGGTGGTGGTCGATCTGGGGCTGAGAATGAGGGAGTTTTTCTCTTGCAGACAGACTCAGCATCCCCGAAACCTGAAAGAAACAAAAACAAAATCCATCTTAATATATGTTTTTGTTTATCTGTGTTCATTAAAGTGTATAGTGTAGAGAGTAGGATTAAAAAGTGTAGAAAATCTGATATTAATCGCCACTAAATCGAAATGAGATACTAAGAAAGTCACATTGACAGGACTGAATCTTTCCTGAATAGCTTTAGAATGATCTTGAGCTGTACCAGAACAAGTCTAAAGCCCCGTTCACAACAGCCGGCCAGGTCACATTCATCCAACCTGGTTCAGTCTGAAGTCGCATGTCGGAAGATCAGATATGTATCGGTTTTAGGAGCACATATTCAAACGCCCTGGGTCGCATTTGAAAAAATCGGATCTGTGTCATTCAGATTGTCATTAAAAGATCAGAAACAGGAGCATAGCGGCGAAAAAATGGGATTTGGGTCACTTCAGGCTGCAGACTGAACACAGCCTTAGAATACAAGGTGTATGTCTACGGAGCTCAAAATAAAAATAACATCATATGGTAATGTAGTCTTTGAAAATACAAATAGGAAGTAATATTTCTGCACTTTTGGGGTTCATTTTACAATTTATTCAACTTTTAAACACACATTTTGACTTGATTCATAATTTCCAATTTATTCATATTTTATGACTATTTTTATGTAAATTTTGTTTTGTTTAGGAAATACACTGTATGAAGAGCGTTAACTGAAATATGAATAAACAGTAACATTATTACAAACATTACATTAACACACCAATATTACAATTACCAATGCACACAGTCTGTGTTTTAATCTGTACAATTCCATATAGAACTTATTCTTGTGTTGTTTTTCAAATTCTGGCGGCTCAGCTGCCATAGTTCCGGTTGCCATGACGATGTCATCTCACTTTATGACATCACAGATAATAGACTACAAAGCCCCTCACTTCTGTACAGGTTTTCGTACAAGTAAGACGTGTTTGTTTCCAGAGAGTGAGAAGCAGGAGATTTCGACAAATTCTTCCAACAACACTTTCAGTTTTAGTTCTACGAGAGAAAAAAACACGACAGAAATGGAACGTTCAACCCCAGGTAAGTTCAAGCCAGGATCTCAACTCTGTGTGGAAAACGTTGAAATGCAACACTGGTTTTGTTCCAGATTTGATGTTTTTTGGTGAACTACAGATTTAATTTCACACAATACACATTTTTCTGGTCAGTACATTGAAATTTCAAGTTTGAAAAGTTACAATATGTTTTGCGTCTCAACCAAAATGCAGTCACTTTGCATTGTGTTGTATGTACGCTGTACAGAAAGTACTGCAACTGTGATCAGATTTGCAATATATGTTTAAAAAGTAGGATTCTGTTCTGTGTGAACATAGAAACAAATCCAGGCACATTCACATGGGAGAGATCTGAACTGACAAACTAATACAAAGAGCCCATGGATTTCAGAACATGTTTGTAGAGCTCTTAACTACAGTGTGAGCAGCTTTTACACAGAATAAGACCCTGTAGAGACACAAAGAGGACATGTGACACACAGGAACATTTCAGGATATGTTTGTAAAAGTCGAAATGACTAAATAATTGCACCAACTCAAATTGTGATTTCGATCCGACTGTGAGATCTTGTGCAAGCCTTGATGCATGTTAGGACATTTGATTAACTGATTATTTGTACTTTTGTGATTTTTGTCCAGAATTAAGGCGCAGTGTCCGTCTTCAGGAAAAGGGTTATTATGGACCACAGGACAAATCCGTCATCAGCTACAAGGAAAGACTCTTCAAGTAAGTTTGAGTTCTGTGATATAAAAAGAGCTTCATTTCAATAGCAGAGTACAGGGCTGTGGTAACAATGGGACCACACTGGGACCAGCGGTGAAAAGTAAAATACTAATGTTTCTGTAGTTAAGTAGATTTTGGGGGATAATTGTGACTAAAAGCTCACAAGAGTCAGTTTTGTGTAATATAGGATCTTTAAGCTCATACTGGACTGTACTACACTTGGACTTGTGACTGAGTACAGCTTTAACTAAGTAACTGTACTTTTACTTAAGTAACTCAGTCCCTAGAATCCCAAATGACACTGAACTCTACTTTTACTTTTACATTTCTACAAAATGACTCATTCCAAATGTTTTCTTGTTTGCAGAGTCTTCAAGCGACGAAGGCAGAGACAGCGTGATGATGAAAAGCATCACTTTGTGCCACTGCCACTGCCACTGCCACTGCCACTGCCACTGCCTTCTCGAACTAATTCAACCAAACAGCCAAAGCCCAACTACCTGCCCACGCAGTTTGAGGTTTTGGTCATGGTGTTGTTCGCCCTGCTTGGAGCCATCTTGTTTATTTATACACTGCAGGAAGATGGTAAGTAACATGTCCAAAATACTTTTCATTTAAATAATTCAACTTGAAAAGCGTGTAACCCATGTTTTTCTTGTTTTCAGTGTACCAGCTAGATGTAGGAGATGCAGGAGGTGCAGGAGGTGCAGGAGATGCAGGAGGTGCAGGAGGTGCACTAGGAGGGGACAGAGCAGTACTAGCAGCAGGAGATGTAGGACGTGTAGGAGGTGTAGGAGGTGTAGGAGGTGTAGGAGGTGCACTAAGAGGGCACAGAGCAGTACTAGCAGCAGGAGATGCTCCACTGATGGTAAACTACGCTCTTCTGTCACAGCGTAAGTATCAAACCTCTTACAAACATGTCTTTAATTACACTACACCTGACGGCTACTGGCTCTGTTTCATCCATTTGATTTCTATAGTACATTTTATAAACAAATGAACACAAACATAAACCTTGTCCTTTAAGAAACTACACAACAAAAATAAATACATGCAAGTATATTTCATGAAGTGAAAAATGTGGTGACTTCAAATGTATTTTAAAAGTCTCAGTGTACAGTAGAAGAAATGGTTTGACTCGCTGACTAAATCCAAAAATGGATCTTTGTCTCATTTTCCCCACAGAGGCCACAGTTCTCCGATCTCGCTCTAGCCCCACCTACTTTCGACACGGTGTATTGGAGATGATCCAGTGGCTGTTGTGCTCCAAACATCTCTTTGTGCTGCGCCCTGATTCCCCCCTGATCCCCGGCTACTGCTGGCCCTTCGCTGGAGACAAAGGACACCTTCACATCCAACTGGCCCAGAACATCCAAATTACCCACGTGACACTGGGGCACATCACCAAGACCCAATCGCCAACCGGGGAGACCACATCGGCACCCAAGCACTTCGCTGTCTACGTAAGTCATGGGTTCTGTTCTATTTATTTTGTTTTATTGAAGCTGGTATTTGTAATTTGGAAAAGTGGAAGTAGATAGATGGATACTGTATTTCTAAACACGTCCAGAAGAATTGAAAAAAAGACCAAAATATGACTGAAACTGAAAACTGACTGATCGAAACTCCAGGGTTAACTGTTTTTGTATCCTAGTTAATATTAGTTGAACTTCATTTGGTCCTCCTGTTTCAGTTCCTTCATTCCAAATTGTTTAAGATCAATTTTATCTTGAACCTTAAATCTGTTTAAGTCCTGATGTCCTTATTTAATCCACACATTAAACTAAACATCTGATTTTCTTCTTTTTTTAGGGGAAGATGACGTTGGATGGAACGGAGCAACTACTCGGACGATTTTTCTACGACACGGGGGAACCGGGTTTCCAAACGTTTGCGATTTCAGGACGGAAAGGTGTATCTTTTAAACATGTACGACTGCAGGTGGAGTCCAACTGGGGCAACACGGAATACACCTGTCTGTACAATTTTAAGGTGCACGGAACACCTGCGCCCCCTGTCGGCCAAGTCACGCCCCCTCAACAAGGACAGTGTCATTGATAATACTTTATCAGAACTGATCTTGAACAGAGTGGACCGGTTGGCTTTGTGGAAAGAGGTCAGGAGATCCACTGTTTGTCTCAAAATCAGCATGATGAGTATTGAAACTTCCTCCCGACCAGTTGGAATCTGTAGAAAGAAATTGGAAGTTTGTCTAAATGACATTTCTTGGGCAATTTGAGGTTTAAAGGACGACAGTAACGACAGATGAACCAAAGAAATACACAGGGGTTTTTGGTGCCACTGTTACTGTAGCGTCGTACGGCTAAATCTCCAACAGGAATAGTGTAACTTACACTGTCTACTGAAGTTTATATCTCAGTAGATATGAGTGTAAATGTTTCCAAATTTGTCAAAAGAACAGTAGGCTCCGGTTAAACCCACGTGTATATGAGGGCTGTTCTGTCTATCCTCTCCCCTGAGTCTTCCACAGCAACCATGATGGTGACCTTTCACCCCCCAGGAGACGCACAGGAGGCCAACGTTGGATCAGTTAATCTGAGATTGGATTTGATGTGGTTTAGTTCCAGCAGCCTATAGACCAGGTTTGGATCTGGTGTTAGACCTGGTTCAGACCTGGTTTAGTCTTCGTTTAGACCTAGTTTAGTCCTTGGTTTAGACATGGTTTAGTTCTTGTAGCCCTGACCCAATCACGCTGAGGCAGAGGCGCCCTCCTGTGGCCTGGATCTGCCAGAGGTTTCTTCCTCAAAGGGAGTTTTTCCTCTCCACTGTCGCTCTGGAGGTTAATGGGTCAGTTTTAGACCAGGTTTAGATCTGGTATAGACTTGTATACTATAGACTACGGAAAAGGGAAAGATAAACCTGAAGACTGGAACTACCGCATCTGAAAATTGGAAAATAAAAACCATTAAATTAAATATTGTTTGTCTTAGTTTCTCTGTTAAGTAAAAAATATTGTCAAAGAACTCTAGTGCACTCACAGATTTACATGAAGGCCAAAGTAAACTGCACTGATTCTATGTCTGTTACACATACAGAATCTTGATAACAAGTATTTAAAAGTCAACCATTATTTTGATTGAGGATAATAGAACATTTAGACATAATAGAACCGGGTACACATCCAGTGTACTCCGGTTATGTGTGTGCCAACTTGTGTGATGACTGGGTGAATATTTTAGGCCGCAGATGGTTCAGAAATTGCTGAAATTGCTGAACCTTCATAATGGCATGACCTTTCAACTGACCGGTGTGACCTCAAATGACCTCAGATTGTCACCAAACGTTTTTTTTTTTTTGCGGCATCGGGCACGGGGGCTTGACCCATGTACCAAATTTGGTGACAATCGGTCCATAAATGGCGGAATTATCGCGCGTGGACAGACACATACAGACACACAGGGTGAATAAAAAACCTGGTCAGCCCTTCTGGGACCAGGTAATAAGTCAAGTCTCTGAGTTCAAGATCCACACCTCTGCATACAGACAGGATCCAACAGTGTCCACTATTTCACACAAAGCAAGTGCAGCAATTGCAAAGTAGTATTTAAAGTCGTCTTTCACAAATAAACCAACTAAATAAACAACTTGTACTTCTAACTATGAGACAAATGCGTATGTTAAAGGAACTGTATGTAGCCTGCTCTCACGACATCCATTTTATAGTGATGTAACAATAACTCAAACATCGTGATATCGTATCGTCAAAAGTCTCACAATAATACCTTGGGCCATCACAATATATATCGAATTACAAATCTCTCTGCTTAAATGAATTGTTATAGTGCAGCAATTTACCTAAAAACAGAGGGAACTACACAGACCATGATCCTTTGCTCGCTTTCTTTCTAACATGTCATACTTCATACTGTCTGCTCTGAAACTGAACAAAGGATCATGGTCTATGTTGTTTCCTCTGTTTATTTTAACTGTTCCTGCAACAAAGCCATGCATTTAATCAGAGAAGCTTATGATTCGATATATAGTGACAGTCCACGATATTACTGTGAGACCTTTGATTGTCTATGGGGAGGAGTAAACGGCCTCTGTGGCTCACTTGACCTTGTCCTGTCCTTCCAGTCCTTCTTGCGCTCCTCTAGGTAGTCCTCCATCTGCACCACCCAGTCCGGCCTAGGTCCAGGGAACAGGTGGGCAGCGTCCAGCTCCAGCAGATGTGACACTCCACAAAGCTACTAGACAACCTCGTTAAGAATTTGCTAAAACTATGCAACAAAATGCAAA